ACATCTGTTTAGAAAAATCCTTAGAGTCCCCTAAATGATATTTAAAGATTGGGATTTTTGATTATTATCAAAAGCCAGATGCTGAGTAAACTGAACAAATATTATTAATGGCCTCATGTATAAATAAGTTAAATTAAGCTCATAAATAATGGGATTGTCATACCAGGGCTTAGTTAGGAACAACAGGGGAATGTAAGCAAATCAAAATTAATTTCTAGGTTTCCTGCTAAGTGAGACTGTTAAAATGCAGAATTTTATCTATTATTTATATCTTCCTAATAATGAAAATATTATATTAATAGCCTCCATTTCTGGGGTACTTACTATGTGCCACATATTAAATATTTCATTTAGTCCTTACAACAACCTGAGAGAAATTAGCACACCATTCTTACAGATGAGGAAACAGAAGCTCAGTGTTAAGTAACTTCCCAAGGTCACATGGCTTAGTAAATGGCAGATCTTGATTTTGAACCCAAGTCTAACTCTAAAACCCATCCTTTCATTCACCATGCTATGCTGCCTTCTCAATACCTCAGGACAGCTTTAAAATTGCACATTTAAAAACCATTTTCTAATCAGGACCAGTACCTTTACATAAAATAAGATGTCATTTAGCAAGATGTTACACAATCAGCCAGTTTGACTTCTTAGGACATATTGCAAAACATAAATAGAAACAAAAAAGAAATCCCTGTCTGTGCAGAATCTACACATTCAAATTTACATTCTTCTTTCATAGGAAAGACCCTAGAACTTTCATTCAGAGCTCTTTGCTCTTAACAGACAGCTTGAATAAAACTAGTTATCTGGTTTCCCATCCACAACAGATCAGAAATAGAAAACCAGATGTGCTTCAGGGGTTATCAGAAGCAAGCTCACTGATAGTGAAGAGAAGTAAAAGATGGACAAATAAGGAAGATGGACACAGAAGGAAATAAAGATGTATAATTCTAAAAAGCAATCAGAGACATTTTTAAAAGCATTGCAGTTTAAGATAATTTAATCTAGCAGTTGTCAAACATTTGGATCTCAGGATTTTACCATACTCCTAAAACTTTTTGAGAACCCCAAAGAGTTTTTTAAAT